TATAATAACTTTAGTTATTATTATTAATAAGTTATATCTTCTAATAGAGAAAAGTAAAAGGAAAAATAAGTTAAAATATAATTTAATAAACTACTAATTATATAAGGTACTTATATAGCTATACATACTATATAATTAATATTATAGTTATAAGTTATAATAAATAGAGTATTTTTATATAAGGTTTAATACCTTAACCTTTATTTATTTATCTTATATAAAATATTAAAGTAAGTTAAGTCTTAAGCTTATAGTTATAATATAGCCCCCCTATAAAAAGACTATAGTAAAATTCACCCTATATATAAGTATAATTCTAGAAATACTATATAGGTACTTTAACTTATACCCTCTACTAGTTAAAGAAAATAGTATAGAAACCTTATATATTCCTACTAGTAAGTAAACCTTTATATAAAGTTAAATATATACTTTAGCTAAATAGACTAGTAGAATAGTAATAGTACTAGCTATATAGTATAAAGCTAGTAGTAGTAGTATTATATATAGTAAAGTTAATTATATTAAAGCTAAATAGGTTACTAAAGCTCTTATAACTTAGTAATAGCTTTACTAAACCTTCTAGTAAGGTGAACGTTACTATATAAGAGATAACTTCTTAACTAGAGAGGTTATCTTAAGAGGTCCTTATAACTAGAAGTAGTATATAATTAAGATAATATTTAAGAGAGTTCTTATTAATACTTTTATAGGGGATCTTAAGATATATACTTTAATTAATAGTAAGTATATAAACTTAATAGTAGAGGTAGATAAGGTTTTTATATACCCTATAGAGTAGCTTTTTTTTTTAAATAAGCCCTCTATAATACTAAAGTAGAGGTAGCCTTCTAAGGCTTAAATATTAGTAAGTACGCCTTATACTAACTAATAGAGAGAGCGTTATTAATAACAGTATAGCTATTATAAAGGCGTTACTTAGCCTAATTAAATAAGAAAATAATAATAGTAATAATATACTTTTAAAGAAGCTACTATAGTAGATAGTAAAGTAATAATAGAGATAGTATTAGTAGTATAGGTAATATATAAGAGAGAGGATAAGTTAATAATTTAGTAGTTAGTAATTAAGTAATTAAGTAATTATAAACTATATTATTATTAAAGTGAAGTTAAAGATCCTAAGGTTATATATGTATATAAGTATAGCTATAATTAGGAGAGTTGCGATTATATAACTAAAGGCTATATATATTATTAGGAGGCGTAGAGTTAAGAGGTCTATTACTCTAAGTAGGTAAAAATCATTATAAACAGCTAGAAGCTATAAGTTAAGTCTTATTATTATTCTTATATTATTATTATAAAAAAAATTATATATTAATATAATTAACTCTTTATATTAATTTATTTAAAGATTTTTAAAAGTAAATATTAAGTTTATAAGTTCTTATTATATTTAAATAGTAAAGCTTTAATTAACTATATTAAGTTATATAAACTACTTTTTTTTTACTTTTTAAAATATTCTTAGTTAATTAGTACTCTATATTACCTATAGTTACTTAGCTACAGTATACCTCTAATTAAGCTGTCCTACACTTTTACCTAATTTCTGCCTTAGGCTTAAGGTTTTCAGTGCAGTGCAGCCCCATATTTCTTGTTAGCCTTGAGCGGCGCATACCTATTGCTTAGCCGCACGGCTTGGGAATCCTATCATCTACGCGCCATTTGTCGCCATTGCGAATTCTTACGCTGCCAATACGCTCCGGTTTACCTGGGTCGCAGCTGACGCATCAACTTCTCCTGCTCTCTTCGCAACGACGCGATCTGTACCGCCGACATGTCGACTCGTCAAGCGGCCTTGTGAGTCTGCCTAATGCTTACACCTCATGCGGAGTCATTGAGCTGACATGTTCATTCATAGGTCGCTCTATCGACGTTCCCTCAAGCTCGCTCTCGACTGGGCAGTCCACCGTCATCTTTGGAGGGGCCAGGCCCTATACATCAGATCTCTCTTCGAAGCAAACCGCGGTGTGACAGATTCGCGGCAGAAAAGGGTGAGTCAATGAGGGTGATCTGCCAGAGGAAATTGGCAATGGCTGCGGCAGGTCGCCATGAACAGGAGCTAATTTGCTGCGTGAAAGGAGCTTCTGTCCGAGACGGAGAAGCTACTGGCGAGATGGAAGCACCCAGAGCCATACGTGCATCCCACGGCACCCGGGGGTTCGTCATCCCTCGACTCCACGATCGTTCGTTGAAATGGATGCTGATAATAGTTCACCAGGATCGAAGTATGAGCGTAACCTCCGTGCCCCTATTTTGGACCGTAAGTTTCGAGCGTCTCTACTATTACCGCATTGCGGCACGCTGACAAGTCTCCTAGCCCCGCGCCAATTGAAGTTCTGAGCGATGGAAGAAGAAAAAGGAAGGCATTCATTCTCGGATTCGGCGACGTTTTGGGCTTACATGTATCCCAACTCAGCAACAAAGTCTGCCAAATATTGGCTTTCTTCGTAAAGAATGATCGAGGTAATCTACACTCGGGGTCGGTAGGAGATTGAATACAGATTTCATGCTTTGTTACCCTGGCGTTCGCAGATGTAGGGGTTCAGGCTCTACGATTTGACTATCACGAGGTTGAGGATTACGCCTAAAGGCGCAAGTTTGGTTGCCAAAAACGAGAACATATGTTCAGTGCCCGGCCTAACCAAATTTATGGCGACATTCCACCTTCCAATACAATGGAACACGTGAACACAAATTAATCAATGGCAGTGATCTTCAAAAGGTATTCTCATTCGTAACCACAGCTTCCGCTGCCGTGGTATTATTGTACAACCCAAACGTGAAAATCAACCATGAACCCTGAACCGTGACCCCGATGTCATGACAACCCAAAGCAGCCGACCAGCACGAAAGAAACCCAAACCCGCGAAACCCATTTACAGTTCTTGGCTCTGGTTCTTGCCAGTCTTGCCAGTCTTCTTGGGCAGCAAGTCTGCAAACGTTGTCAGAATAGAGGTACAGAACATACAATACAAGAGAGAACTTACTCTGGTGGATGTTGGGCAAGACACCACCCTGGGCGATGGTGACGTGGCCCAAAAGCTTGTTCAACTCTTCATCGTTGCGAATGGCGAGCTGAAGGTGACGGGGAATGATACGGGTCTTCTTGTTGTCGCGGGCAGCGTTGCCAGCAAGCTCGAGAATCTCAGCAGCGAGGTATTCGAGGACAGCGGCGAGGTAGACGGGAGCACCGGCACCAACACGCTGGGCGTAGTTGCCCTTGCGGAGAAGACGGTGGACACGACCGACAGGGAAAGCGAGACCGGCCTTGGAGGAACGGCTGACAAAATGTTAGAGACAGCTTGAACAGCGCGTCCAGACGCGAAAAAATCGGTGGGTGTAGCGCGTTCTGGATTGGAATGCTTACGATTGCGCGTTCTTGGAACCGCTGGCCTTGCCGCCGGACTTGCCGCCTCCAGTCATTTTGATTGAGTTGGGTGTGGTGAAAGGGTGGGAGAATTTGAAGTTGTGGTGATTGACACTGGCGTGCGAGTTGCGTGTTGGTTCGTTGAGGTTGCGGAAGGAAATGTGAGATGATGAGGGAGAGAAGCGAAGATGGTGGGGAGTGAAGTAAGTTAAGTAGTTTTCGCGTTGGAGGAGCTCAATCACGGATCACCACCGCGCGATTTAGCGCTAAGCCGAAAGCAGAAATTCCATGTTGTGGTGCATCATTTCTTTCGGAGCTTGCAGGAGCATCCAAGGTGGAAGGTACGTATCAGCCCCTCTAAAGCCGCCTTGGCCCTGCGTTCCGCTAGGGAATAAAACCCGGGGTCCTCTCCTGCTTCTTTCGACATTTCCATACATCCTTAGACTATCCTTATCGTCGCTTGCACGTCCGCCTGTGGTTTTTATTTTATTGTACCTTCTAATTATTTTACTGGTCCATCCTCGTTCCGTCATTCACTATTCTTGATTTCCCTTCCGCCTGTTTTTCTTACCTATTTTCCGCATTCAACTTTGTTCCTCCCCCTCCTGTCTGTCCCTCTGTGCCCATCGCCCTTACAAACCAACCATATTTGCGAGCACGCGAGGAAACCACCGTCCGGATCAATTCGACAGTTTCAATCATTCAGCTCGGATTCGTCGTAAAATCATCCTACACCCACCACGTTTTAACTGTGGTGTCCATGCCAAATCTCGCCCTCCCACCTTTGTTGCCGAATCCGTTCTGAGCTTTGGACGCACTTATGACATCCTGTTCTCCGCGTTTCTGTCCCTCGAATAAGCAGGCGTACTCACCTAGCTACGCCCTTGAGGGGTGGGGTATGACTCATTATGTACTTCCCATGTGAAATCCATGGGGCAAATTCCCCCCCTCCCTTCTCTCGCAGCGGGAGCCCCCTCTACCCTAAATACGTATTCTAGACCATGTAAGGCTGGAAAGAGACCCTGAAATGCGAATGAGACGGCATGCTTCAACGCTCCAGTTGGCTGGACCCTCTGCAGCCTAACGTGTTGGTTCGCTCTAATCCACGCATTCGGGCCCGTCCCGATAAGCAGATTCAGATCCAGCGCCCTCTCTTAGTCCTTGGGGACAGCTTCCTTAGGGTCCGAATCCCTGCGTGGCATCCGTGATGTGTCAGATGGCTTAGCCTTGTAGCAATGGAGAATGCTGGACTTGAAGGAGGGGGAAAGAGGGGCTGAGAATCGGAACTGGAGAAATCCACCGATTTGGCTTCTGCGGTGGTTCGAGACTCTGGCGTTTTTGCTCATAGGACTACGAAGACGCGTCGCGATCCAGATTTGTCTCCACGCTCGCGACTGTGTCTTGACCGCCGAGGCTCCCTTTACTTACGCACTTACGTTACCTTACCTAATACTGGACGGGGGATTTAGTGTCACCCATCAGGCCCATGAGGTGTGAGCAGACTGTCACTGGGTTCAGGTACCATCCACGCGCGTTGAGGGCAGTGACGCGTACCTACCCCATGGTGGGAACCTTAGCACGACATCGCGTTCGGCGGTAGATCCCACTGAGCGGAAGCGGAAGGACAGAATAATCCATTCTCTCGTTTGGTGGCAGAATGCGCTCTGCCTATGCAGGTAGCAAGAGTAGGTAGAGAGAAGATGCGTCTCTCGAGACTTGAAATAGGCAAGCACGATTGATTACAGTTAATGCCTATTGCTCCTGACATAAATCTTGATACTGATGACGCATCGTCACCCATCTCTCAACTTGTGTGCACTTTGCACAGTAGACTACAAATTATTTCGATTTCAATTCGCGGCCTGTGCCTTTTTCTTGCCTCACGATGTATTGCCGAGGAGTCTCCTTTGCTGTCCGTAGTTGAGCACTAACGCCAAACCCCATCCAGTCCCTTATCCTCAAGACGCATCGGCAGCAGGCGACAGCTTTCCCCCAGAAATTTCCTGATTGGGCAGTGCACAGGTTGCGTTTCCCGTCTTTTTTCTTATGCTTTCGCCCACCCGCCGTGCTCTGGGGGGATTTTTGGGCGTGTTTTCTGGGCTGTGATTGGTTCTGATCGGTAAACCCGCAGGAAGCACGCGAATCACAGAAAAAAAAAAAAAACCAGTTACCTGTCTGCACGTATTTTTTTTTAGCGCGAACGCGTATGTATCCCAGTCCGGCAGCCGCTGTCGCGGTCTCCACTCATAACCCAAGGCTGGCTGTTGAAGGACACCCGGGTTACTGTCGCGCAGCACGGCACTCCTGGTCCACCGGCTGCTGTGCCCACTGACCACTCACCCCCCTCCGAGGCTGTTCCCCCCAAAATCACTCTGGCCTCGCATCAAATCAGTAATGCCGCTAGTGCCTGTCGCGTCCAGCTACAAAAACCCAGCCCACCCCCCCAATCTTGTCCATCCGTCAACAACTCTCACACTCCATCAATCAGCTTCACAACCCGTCGTCAGACATCACACATCTCAACCACTTTCACCACCTCAAACTTCCCATTCTCCAAACCAACCGCAAAAATGCCCCCCAAGGCCGCCGACAAGAAGCCCGCCTCCAAGGCCCCTTCTACTGCCTCCAAGGCCCCTGAGAAGAAGGATGCCGGCAAGAAGACCGCCGCTTCTGGCGACAAGAAGAAGCGCACCAAGTCTCGCAAGGAGACCTACTCTTCCTACATCTACAAGGGTAAGCCCGTCCAGCTTTCCATGTTGCGTTCATGGCTTTGCGACGCGTGCTCGACGCGCGCAGAAATGCATTTCGATTTGCTTACTCGGAACAGTCCTCAAGCAGGTCCACCCCGACACCGGTATTTCCAACCGCGCCATGTCTATCCTGAACTCGTTCGTCAACGGTATGAAACTACACTTCGCATTGCAGGCGCGTCATGCTAACGTTCACGCAGACATCTTCGAGCGCGTCGCCTCCGAGGCCTCCAAGCTGGCTGCCTACAACAAGAAGTCCACCATCTCTTCCCGCGAGATCCAGACCTCGTGAGTTATTCGGTGATCTTGACATCTGATCCATTTAGCTGACCACTCCAGTGTCCGTCTCATCCTGCCCGGTGAGCTGGCTAAGCACGCCGTCTCGGAAGGCACCAAGGCCGTCACCAAGTACTCTTCTTCCACGAAATAAGGGATGCTTGCGCTGCTTTTCTTTTCGGGCATTGGATTTTACTTGGCATTTGGGTGTCATGATGAGACCTGCCAAGGTTGCCAATATCCTTGGAGTCTCTTAATGCGTTACGGATGGTTTGCTTTTATTGGGGGCAATGTCTTCACGGTCAAACGGGGTTTGCGGGCTGTACAATACACCTTGAGAAATAGGGTTTTCGGACGAATGAATTCGTGCACATGAACACAACACCTGGACCTTGGCCTTTGAACGTTTTGAATTCACTCTAGCAAACCGCCGACTTGACGCCGGCTCGTCTTACCTACTGGGCCCAGGTCGAATGCCACTCGACACCGCTACACGGGGTACACCGTCTCCCGGACGCCGGCGAAGTATGTTATCCCAACCCCGCCTTGCTGCGCTTGACGATATGGGCCACTGGCTGCAAGATGCCCTTATTATTGAGCGCACCGAGGGCAGTGCCGCTGCTCCAGCCCATCTTTTCCAGCATCGCCCGCCCCTTGTTCTCCTGGCCCAGTTCCGGGGCCGACCCGCCTACGACTTCTCCATCCCGATAGATAACGCCTGCATGCCCGCCGCCCCCCCCACGACGCGCTGATTGTTTTTGAACAGCGGCTCGAAGAGCAGTATCATTGCGGGGGAAATACTTGCGACCGACACGGGTGATAGCGGCGTCAAACACTTCTTCAGCAAACTTTGCAGTCCTAAAGGTGCGATGAAGCATGGGGCGACGTTGGTCGCCTGACCCGGTTGACTTGGATTTGATGTTAAACTTGCTCGCCAGCTCATGAATAACTTTCCGGGCATGATTGTCCATAGGAGGTAACGTGAGACTGCGCTCTGCTGTCAGTTTATGGGCCTGTTGAAGATATGGGTAGCAACTGCGGACTTACATGGTATTGGTGCCTAGGAGAAACGTCCGGAGTTCATCTGCAATCTGGTCTAGACCCATGCCGTGAGGATACTTCACCCTCAAGTCTTCAGGGTTGACATTCTTTCCAAGCAGGCCTTGTGCGCGCAGGGCCTGTCGCTCTCGCTTTCTCTCAGCCTTCTTTGCGCGGTCATTCTTCCAAGCCGCCTGCATCTTCTCCTCGAGCTCCGAATCAGATATATCGAATACCGGAATCCTATTTTTAGTGCCCTTGCCCTTCTTACGCTTTAAGGCAGGTCGATCCCAATCCATGAAGTCGAAGTCATCGATCTCACCAGCAAATCGGTCTGCCGCCGAACGAAATAGGTCATCTTCATCGCCTTCCTGGTCGCTGATTTCGTTGGGTGGGATTGACTCTTCACCATGGGATGATGCATCGAATGAATCCAGGTTAGGCAAGTCTGTATGAAGAGGATCTCGTACGGCGTTGACACATGCAACTTTGCCTTTCCCGGCCTGCTGATCTTTGGGTGCGTGGTCGGCGATCCTGTCGTCGTTCAAACCATCAGCATCGATTGCTATCTGCGCCTCGCTGCTATCATCCGACATAGAGTTTGCCTCCTGGGCTGCGAGGGTATCGAGAGACCCGTCGATACTTTCAGATTCGCTAAGGGAGCCGCCCAGGTCTCGTCGAGAATATGCGTCTGCCGGTAGCAGGCCTTCGCCATCACCATGCTCGCGCATGTTAGCAATGTAGTCTGCAATCAACTCCTCATCGGCAAGGCGTATTGTTGCTCTTGCGCTTCGAGGTTGTTTACGCTCGAGGCTGAAACTGTCATCTGCTGAGACCTCCGTATCACTGTTGCTTGGTAGGACGGTCTGCTCCATGGCCTTGATCTCTGTACATATTCCATGTAGGTTGAATGGCTTCTCTGTCCCGCCGGAAGCTTCAAGAGCAGCCTTATTACGGCCTTTGAACAAAATGACTTCCTCGCTCGAGTCGGACGCGGCAGGCGAGGCGCATCGAAGTTCAAAACCAACGGCGACATTGTGCTGCAAGTCTCTGTCACCTGTGATATCAAGAAAATACGGCAGCGACTCGGACGCCTGCTCAGGCGGCTTAGGGGCCGGATCAATCTTGAGATCTGGGAGAGCAGTGGCATCCGGGTCCGTTCCTTCTGTAGATGTTGTCATGGAGGTTTCGTTGTCGATTCCCGGTGATGTGCCATTAGCCTCGTGGAGCTGTGTCGCGTCGTCTCGAGACTGCAGAATCAACTTGTCGTGCGCTTTGTTTTCGAGTTGAGCAGCCTCGGCTTTGTGCAAGATCTGCTCGTCCAGTTGCTTCAGGGGCTCGATAGATCCGGTGCTGACGAATTTGACAGGATGATGTCGTAGTCTCGTCCCGGCACTCCAGGGCGAGGAACGGTGCGCGGTGCTACGGGCCTCATCCTGCAACGTAAACCCTGGAACAAAGGCGTCAATCTTGGTTTACGGCACATGATCCGTCAGCTGGGAACAGTCTCTACTAACCGGTCGAAGCAGCGTTGACTGTGGCAGGATACCGATCTGTAGCCAGACTGGGTCGCAATTGGAAAGACCTGCCTGACAGTGCTCTCGCACCGCCTCTCTTGCCACGACGTGGCATCACCTACGCGTGAACCACTGATGGTAGGGAAAGTTGCGGCTATGTTTGTGACTGAGGGAATTTCCGTGGAAGAAGCCCCGTGAGAGGGTCTCAGAAAACGAAAGTCGACCTTTTCCGAGGTTAGGAAATCCAAACTTCCAGCCGTCGACGGGAATTGTAGGTGGGGGGCACTGACGCAAAGAAAAAATAGAGCCTGGATGAAGGTGACCACGCACGGGTTGTTGAGTTGCTTATCGATAACATGGGTGCAGGTGGGTTGAAGTGGGGTAAGGTACGTTGAGACGATCAAAAGAGGACCATCTTGGTGCTCCTTAGTCATCCGTTAGTCATTTGTCGCACGATCGCCACCATAGCATGTTAACGAAATACAGGTGGCGATTAGGTAGAAGACCCGCTGACATGTCAATCATGGCCCCATGGGTAAGGTCGGTACAGTGACCAGCGTACCTCACTAAGCCCCGCCATGCACACGGCATACCTATCCGATGCGTCACAGGGCCACTTTATTGTGGCTGTTACCCATCGGCCGGGCAGCTTGAGAAGTTGGGAAGGACCTTCTCAACCTACACATCCCATCTTTCAATACCTAACGTCGCCTGGCTAAAGGCAAAGTATGATGTGAAATCCGCTGTACCCATACGTTCTTTGATCTTGGTAGCGAATCTACGAACTGAGCACCGTCCTACCCCGCAGATCCCTCCCCGTCGAGTCTCGGTGTACGTATTTCTGTGCCTTACCCCAATCTGCCTTCTCCAACACCTTCTGTACACAGCAGGTGATCACCTTGCTCCTACCTAGCACTGTCTAGCTGTGTTCGCGCGATCACGGAACGTTCAACCAACGGCGAGGCTCAGCCCAACTCTTCACGTCGCTCCAGAACTCCTGGCGACAACGCGATACAAGCAGTGTCCACCACTGTCAACAGTAACCTCGCGCTCGCCTCTCTGTCTTCGATCTTAGTTTCTGTTTCGGCTGCTGACCCCCAGACGCAAACATCAGCATCCTCTCAGCATTTGGACCGAGCCTATACTTTCGATGGAATCCGCAATGGCAGCTGTGGATCTCGGCCGATACCGTCGAATCGTGCAGATATTCTGGGATCCTGAGCCTACAAATGACCATCGGATCGACCTTCCCGTCTGGTGCTTGGGTCGGTCATACAATCTAAGCACCAAGGCTGGTAAAGAGAAGAGTAGCCGTGGCCAGACGCCGCCTACAACAGACACTGCCAGTTCCCAGACCAACGTTAATGACCCATCACCAGTGCCCCCAGCTCTGGGTCCCGAGACTCCTCCTGATTCAGTGTCCAGCAGTTTCTCCTCCTCTTTGGCGTACGACGACGATTACTCTCTTCAAGATGGAGGTTGGCCCGCTGCATTCTTGAACGATTTTGAGTCCAAGTTCTGGATGACGTATCGGTCCGAATTCGAGCCTATAGCCAAGTCTACTGATCCTCGCGCTTCATCAGCTCTGTCCTTGTCGATGCGGATCAAGAGTCAGTTGGTTGATCAAAGTGGGTTTTCATCCGACAGCGGATGGGGGTGCATGATTCGGTCGGGTCAGATGCTTCTGGCAAACGCGATGGCTATCACCAATCTTGGCCGTGGTACGTCCTGTCTACTCTGCGTTTCAGCACCAAAACTCTTGGCTCCCGTTATTGGTGTTGCCAATGATTGATAAAGTCGACTAAAAATGGTTGGTCCAGATTGGCGACGAGGTGAATCACGAAATATGGAACGCCAACTGCTTTCCATGTTCGCCGATGACCCAAGAGCGCCTTTTTCAATCCATGAATTTGTCCAACACGGCGCAGTTGCTTGCGGAAAATATCCTGGGGAATGGTTTGGCCCGTCTGCAACTGCCCGCTGCATCCAGTAAGTTGTATCTTTAACTGTGGTTAATCTGGTTATGTTTGAAGTCGCAGATAGTCTAACCACCGACTTCAGGTCTCTGAACAACGCCCAAGAGCAATCGTCTCTGAGGGTATATTCTACTGGTGATGGCCCGGACGTTTACGAGGACAAATTTATGAAGATTGCGAAGCCTGATGGCACCGGATTCCACCCGACGCTCATTCTGGTGGGCACGAGGCTGGGGGTTGACAAGATCACACCTGTCTACTGGGATGCTCTGATCGCTGCTCTACAGATGCCACAGTCCGTAGGTATCGCCGGGTGAGTAGTTTTGGGTACAGAAGCTTGGTGTGGTACTAATTCTCCCGCAGAGGCCGGCCATCTGCTTCTCACTATTTCATAGGGGCACAAGGTTCCTTCCTGTTCTATCTGGATCCCCACCACACGCGTCCAGCTCTTCCTTATCATTCGGATCCATCCAGATATACTGACGCGGACATTGACACCGTCCACACCCGGAGGCTGCGGCGATTGCATGTCAGGGAAATGGATCCTAGCATGCTGATTGGGTTTCTAATTAAAGACGAGGATGATTGGTCCGAGTGGCGACGCAATGTTAAGCATGTGCAAGGCAAGGCCGTGATACACGTAGCAGACAACGATCCTGTTGCTGGAGTCGGCGGTAAAGAGAGAGAGAGCGCGATTGATGAGGTGGAAACTATTAGCGATGACGATGGAGACACTGTCCTCGATGTTTGAGGCGAGCAAGGCGTATGGGCGGTCAGTGGACGTGTTCGGCGTCGAGATGACATTTCCTTCTTCGTGATCTGAGCATCGGTCCATCCACGACGAGCACAGTAAGGCGCAACAGGGCCGGCCGGGGAACATTAAAGGCTTTTCCTTTTTTTTTTTTTTTTAGCAGCATCGGTCTGGATGCATGGATTTGGACATTTCAATTTAGCGAAATGCTACGGGTACAAGTCGTAGTACGCGGAGGTGGCGCGGTACTACTTCCCATTGAGATAATCTATCGCTTCTTCCTTCTACTACCCGTAGTCTTCGGTATCGGTGTTGCGTGACCCAATTCTCGAATGTGGGTAAAAAGCCTCGTTTTGGAGGAGAATGTTGATTGACAAACACCACAAGTGTGCTTTGAGTCCATTAGCGACGATGCAGAGCGGAATAGGACAAGTGGGAACTTACTACACCGGCCTGAGACTCCTCCGCTGCATCACGAGCTGCCTTCTTCTCGCGTTTAGCCTTGGCCTTTCCAATTTTCTTGGGTTGTTGACGATCGTCGCCGTCGTTGTCAATAGAGAGGGGCCCGATGAGATTGGCAACTTGGTCAATGTCAGGCTTGCATGTGCTCTTTTGTCTACTTTGCGACAGTGTTGTATCGTTGGAGAAAAGCCGCTGCTCTACTTCGGCGCGGGAAGCATATTCATCATCGTCTGGGGACTCCGATTTAGCGTCAGAATCGACAGCTTCTTTCGCTGTCGATAAGGTGACGTCCGGCACATTCTCCTCCCCATCAACTTCGTGCACGGTATCACTCTCCAGATTTTGAAGATCCTCGAGCTCTGCCTTGATTTCCGCCTCACTTTTCTGAATTTGCACCGTGGAGCTTTCTCGGAGGTTCAAATCCATATCTTCGTCTCTCATTTGACGTCGAAGTTGCTGAACTGCCCTCAGGTGCTTTTTGCTCCGCTCGTGTGCTTCAAACGACTTTTCGCTCTTGAAAGTCTTGTTGCACACGACACACTCGAGAACTTCGACCTCTGATTCCTCCTCCTCGCTTTCGGGGAAATGACCACCGCCGTCCGCATCATCGCGAGCCTGGGCCCAGTCGGGAACAACGGCGTCAGAAAGCTTTTCAAGATTGGCGGCACGCGAGCGAGCTGCCTGAGCAGCTGCGGCAATTCGCAGAGACTCTTGGCGTTCCGCAGCAGTCTGGGTGTTGGGAAGGTATCGGGGGTCGCGCTTCCGTACAAATGTGACGAGAAATCTTACAGCATCGTTGAAGTCGCGAATGGCTTCGTCGCGTAACTTCTTGTTTTCTTTTTCCATCAAACGGCGCACACGACGATCAGGCGCATCTGAAACTCTGTACTTGTCCTTCCAGGCAAATGTCTTTCGTGTCGAGAAACTTGCCCAAGCACCGTAAAAGGGCTTAGCGACATCCTCATATCCATCGTCAGAAATGCCAAATGTAGGATAGTCAGGCATATTTCCGGGCACATACTCTCCAGCAGCGACTTCTTCGTCCAGTAGGTGATCAAACGTTGCCTTTGCGATGCCGAAGAAACCGGAAGGTTCGTCCGTGAAGGGGACAGTGGCATTGAAGCGACGGATCAAGGAGAAGATGTCATCCGTGGAGGTAAGCTTAATGTTATTAAACTCGGGCCCGTGCTCATCTGCATCTTCTGGGTCGGCACCACGCAGAATGGCTTCGCGATGCGAATCATACCATGCTCGCTCTTGAGGGTCGGAAAGAACCTCGTAGGCGGCTTGGACCTCAGCGAAGCGTCGGGTGGCGTTGTCGACGTCGCCATAATTTCGATCTGGGTGGAGCTCTAAGGCACGCTTCCTGTAGGCCTTCTTGATCCTGTAGGAAATCAGTATAAGGAAGGCTTGGAATTGGATTAGGATGGCGCACTCGTCATCGGTGGCATCACGCTCGACCGCGAGTAGCTCGTAGTAGCATGTTTTTATGGGCCGAGACGCCGCCCCGGCCGTTTGGTCGCGACCGGAGGATTGTTGGGAGCCCATGTTTTGTTACGACTATGTGATTGTCGCCGTCAGTTAGGTGATGGAGCGGCGGTCTTGATTTTATAATGCCTGATATATCGGTAGAGTAAAAGACGATCCAGCGAAGATGGTCGATGAAAGGCGGCCTGCAAATTCAACGTGATGAGCCGGACCAAAACGAGAATTAGAAATCATCGAACCAGACCTACGCCGTCTCGGTACCATTAATCCCAACGTTGGGCGTAGGCTTGATTATGAGTTGAGGTGAGTAGGACTTCGTTTTCTTCAACACGAAATGTCGCGGCCAATTGAGCCCGATGACTCATCCAGCGTGAGATCGGGACGGGAGTGACAAGATGTCATCTACGTCCAGTTCACGAAATTTCAACTGGGAACTCAACGCAGTGGACATCAGTTTCCAGGCAGCCAGGGGGGTCTTGAACGAGTATTCGTCTCTTTACACACCTATAGCCATGAGTTTTCAAACACACATTGCTGCCCCTCCAGATTATGTAGCTGTCGAGTTAAATACGACGGAACCATGCGATAGAGACATATCTTAGTAAAGAGTTTAGTATGGCTAAACGCACGGCCCAGCGCACTTTAATGCTGCACTTATCCCGCTATGACTACTGCGAGACGGTAGTCAGCTAGGCCCAGGCCTAAGGCCTGAACCCTAACCTAAATCCTACCTTTATATAAGGGATCAGCTATACTACTTTATAGCTAGGCGCGCCTAATAATTATAACTAGATTAATTAAACTACTTTATATAGGTTATAAGCTCTCTAAATACCTAAATCTATTTATTAAATAATAAGGTTATTCTTAAGTAACTATTAGGACTTTAACTTTATAATTTAATAATTACTATAAAGTAATTAATAAATTATTAAGTTATTAAAAATAATACTTCTAAGTAGAGGTTATAGCTATTATAATATATATCTCTTATCTATAAAATCTCTTTAACTTTTAAATTACTAAAGTTAATAATTATTTAATAATTATTATAATAATATAGTAATAACTACTTAATAATTATCTATTAATTATTTATAACTACTTTTTAAATCTCTCTTAAACTACTAAATTAATTAAATAAATTAATATANATTTTTAATTAATAATCTAATTCTATTTTCTTTTAACTCTATTAAAAAAGAATTATTTTAAATTAACTCTCCCCCTTTTTCTATTATAAACTTTATAGTTAAAATAGCTATATAGAAAGTAATTAATAAAAGATTAGATTTAAGAAGTCTAATATATAATATTATCTTTAAACTAATTAAAACTATAAACTTTAAGTTATAAAATATTAATCTTAAGAATACTTTTAAAGTAATAAAATTACTCTTTTACTTAATAACTAAAAGGATACTAAATAAATATAATAAAAATATAGTTTTTAAAGAAAATAAAATAGTAGTAATAGAGGATTTAAACTTTTTAGGTGATTTAATATTTATAGGTTTTATACTTATTAAATAGTTATTTATAAAGAAGATTTAATATAAATTTTTAGAAGAAATAATTAATAATAGTTTTTCTATTATAGTTTTAGTTTATTATATTTTTATTAAGATTAAAAAATATACTTAGAAGTTTAATAAACTAGCTATAAATAAAGTTTATAATAATTAGAATAAAATAACTAAAGTTAACTATAATAATATTAAGGATTTTATATAAGATCTTTACTTAATTTTTAATAAACTAAATAGCT